ATTTAGTTAATCACTGTCGTCCTGGGATCCTGCTAATCAGGAAGCCAGGGGTTCACTACCAATTCCTCCTCTTGATGGCGGCGGCTTCAAGGGAAGATGGAGCTGGCCTGAGCGGAGCAGCAGGACCAGCTATATGCTGTCTGGGCTTCACACACATGTAGTCAAATATCAGGCTCATTCTTACCCAAATGGATGGCCTCAGCAGCCCACTGGGCCCCGGGGGATGCCTTGCTCAGGCTTTGCTGCAGAGGATGCAAAGCCTAAGGGAAACATGGGGCAGCCGGTCCTGGCCTGTGTATGCTTCTCCTCAGTGCCCCTTGAAGCAGCCCCTTCTCCACACCCCTGCTTCCACGGCTCAGGCCCTGTCTTGTAAGAGCCCCTTCTGCTTCCATGACTCTCCACTCGCCATTGCAGCTCTCCCTGGAGCCTCTGCCTAGAAACACCCACAGGGCCCGGGAGAGGCTGAGGGAAGGGTCCTCACCAGACCTGGGGTGTCAGAGGGACCGGATCTGAACACTGACCGGGTGACCTTATCCCTTTGAAGCTCAGTTTTCTTACCTGTGAGTGGGGCATTTTTGCCCATATAAATCTCAACAAATTCACGTGTGAGCGAGCACTGGGTGGGGCAGAAAGCACCTGTGCACCCAGCTGAGGCTTCCTAGTTTACATACGTCTGGCTGCTCTCTGGGCTGGCTGTGAGGAAGCCCAGAGCTTGCGCTGACCTCCTTTCCTGACACTCCCTTCTTCCTGCCCAATGAGAGTCCTGCTTACAGCACTGCAAAGCCACCCACCTCCTGTGCCCCCCGCCCCACACCTCTCACCCCGTGTCCCCAGCAGCCCAGCTGGCTCCGTGCCCTCACTCTGCCCCCACACCAGTCATTCTTGCCCCTGGAAGTCCTGCTCTGGCTCCAAGTCATGTTTGCTTTGTGGTAATGAAAATATTGAATGGGATCAGTGGCTCATAAACTGTCTAGGTATGGAGCTCTGCAGGCCTGGCATGAGAACACAGAGGTGATGAATCAGACCCGACCACACCCCAGCAGGGCTCCTTCCTCCACCAGGCCCAGCCATATACTAGGTGCCCAAGAAGGGCCAGCAGTGTTTGAGTTGTAGTCAGGGCTCACAACCAGTGCTGCAAAGGACCCTGGGTTTGGGCGTTACTGTTCTGAATTCTGAGTTGATCTTCCCAGTCTGGGTTTTGCAAGTGAACCCCAGTGGGATGTGTGCTGGGGGCTTGGACTTGGCTTGGTCCTGCCTTCCACAACCTTGTGGCCTTGGGTGGTGGCATGGTTTACTTAATCCTTGCCTCCTTGGCACCACCTGGCTTTCTTCTTTGTAGCTCTATTCTGCCTCCAACAATGCAGGGAGGATGGGGTCCAGTGCTCCTATGCCACTGTACCTCAGCATGGGGCAGCCATCCGCACCTGGGCTAGCAGTGCCACTGTATGTACCCAGGGTGACTCAGAAGAATCAAGTCTTGCATCCCCCTACCCAAGAACCTGGCGCATTTGGGCCTGGAGGTCACAGTATTCGCGTCTACCCTGGATTGGGAGGCAGGCCTGTGGGGAAAGTAGATGCATGACTCAACTTTCCACCCTTTGGTCACGGCACGGTATGACGGTCTAGTGGCCAGCAATGGGAGGACATGGGATCTAGTGAGCCTCAAGTGCGTATGTGCCCAGTTGGGGTGTGCGGGCCCAAGGCCTGTGAGGTCAACACTCTGCTCACGCGCATCCCTGTGAACAAAGGAGCACGACATGAAGCAGGAGATAAAAACACTGTGACAGGTTGAGAGAGTCCTCGGGCAGAAGGAAGAGTTTGCTTTGTATTTTAGCACCTTTAACGGCACCGTTTTTTTTTTCCGTTTGTTATGCTTTTTGGACCTGGCCACTGCATTTCCTTCTCTCACTGGGTCCTGCTAAATATGCAGCTGGTTTTGGGTGCAGGAGAAAAAGCAGGAGACGTAGACTTAGAAGACTTTGTGAGTCCTTCTGCCTGTTCAAGCCTCTCCCACCCCTTGCTTTTCTCTGGGCGTGGCCTGGTGTGGACAAGACGTTGCTGACCTCTGGGGACGTCTTGTTCTTTCCTGTTCCTGTGGAGGCTCCAGTCACGGCTGTGCCACAAGCTTCCTGGGACCAGAGGGTCTGCTTTTCTTCTAATCGCCGTCGCACTTCCCTTTGCAGTAAGCACCGTGCCGCTGAGGGTGGAGATGTTCCTGCTCCCTGCTCACCTTGACCCATATCCTCTCTGTATCCCTCATGGCCCTGGCACCGCACTTGGCAGATAGAGGTGTTTTTTGAATATGCGACCTAATTTCTGTTAGACTTTCATTCCACTGGTGCCAGGGGTGACTTTCCCTAGGTGTACCTGGATTCCGTGGGCCTTGCGTGGTGCCCAGATGTGGGGCTGGTCTTTGATCCCTGACCTGTGTGTTTGTGGCTGGGTCTTCTTTGTTTCTGCCTGCACTTGGGCTGCTCTCTCTCCTTGGAAGCTGTCTGCCGCCACCCTGCCATGCTGTGCGGGAACTCTGCTGTCTTGTGCGGGGCCTTCTTGGGCATAGGCTCAGCCACACCCCCATACCATGAGCTGGCACATGTATTCACCATTGGTTCTCTCCCCTGGGCTGCACCTGGTGACGTGACAAAGATGGAAGAAACAAAATCTTGAACCAGTTGTTAAAAGGAAATAAATAAAACCCTAGGGGAACCAGGCCGCATTTATTGAATGCTTGTCATGTGCCTGCCTGTGTGCTACGGGCTGTGTGTATATATATATATATATATATATCAGTCATTGATTCTTTGTGGTATTTCCTGTGCAATCAGGGTTTTGTTCATAAAATCTTTGCCTAAACCTATGTCTTCAAGAGTTCTACCTATTCTCTCTTCAAGAAGATTTAGTGTTTCTTTTTTAATATTTAGATCTTTGATACATTTTGATTCTAGCTTAGTGCATGGTGAGAGATAAGGGTTTAGGTTAATCTTTTGCTTCTGATAGAGTGATCAATTGATGATAATTTGGAGAGCCCTACTAGAGAGTTCTGTAGAGTATATCAGCTTTCCTGTTGCTGAAACACAACAGCTGATACCCACAATTTATTTTTATTATTATTTTAAAATTATTTTATTGTACATTTTACATATACATAATGGTCAAATTCATCACAGGGAATCTGTAACTGTATATAACATATCTTAATTCTTCTTCTTATCCAATCCCTTCCCCTCCCTTCAGCCCATCTTCCCCTCCATATTTACAACAGTTTTTTCTCCATTTTTGCTTCTATTCTTTTTTCTTCTTTTCTGTTCCTTCCTGTCTCCTTCCCCTCTATTTTCCCTTCCTATTTGAACATTTTTTCCCTATTTCCCAAGATCTATTATACATTTTGATATTTATCTATCCTTTCAATTTTTGACACCAGAGAAACAATGTGGTATTTAAACATGTGTGTCCAATTTATTTCACTTAACAGTATGATCTCAAGGTGCATCCATTTACCTAGAAATGTCTCAAGTTTATCATTCTTTATGGCAGAGTAATACTCCATTTTATTAAAAACCACATCTTCTTTATCCATTCATCCACTGATGGACACCTGGGCTGTTTCCAAGATTTAGCTATTACAAATTGTGTTGCTATGAACATGGATGTGCATATATCACTATGGTGT